GATCTGGAAAAGGCCCAAGTGCCCATCAGTAGATGAATGGATAAAAAAGCTGTGGTACATCTACACCATGGAATACTATGCAGCAATAAAAAAGAAGGATCTCTTGCCGAAACCGGTTTGGCTCAGTGGATAGGGCGTCGGACTGCAGACCGAAAGGTCCCGGGTTCGATTCCGGTCAAGGGCATGTGCCTGGGTTGCGGGCACATCCCCAGTGGGAGATGTGCAGGAGGCAGCTGATTGATGCTTCTCTCTCTCATCGATGTTTCTAACTATCTATCTCTCTCCCTTCCTCTCTGTAAAAAATCAATAAAATCTATTTTATAAAAAAAAAAAAGAAGGATCTCTTACCCTTTGTGACAGCATGGAGGGACCTGGAGAGTATCATGTTAAGCTAAATAAGCCAGTCAGAGAAAGACAAGTATCACATGATCTCACTCATATGTGGAATCTAATGAGCAAAATAAACAGATGAACAAAATAGATTCAGAGACACAGAAGCATGGAACAGACTGCAGAATCTCAGAGCGAAGGCAGGGAAGAGTGGGTGGGTGGGAAGAGATCAACCAAAGAACTTGTATGCATATATGCATAGCCCATGGACACGGACAATAGGGTGGTGAAGGCCTGGGGTTGGGGGCCCGGGTGCTGGCTAGAAGAGGTCAATGGGGGGAAAAGGAGGACATATGTAATACTTTCTACAATAAAGGTTTAAAATCAATAAAAAAGAAAAACTAGATGGCTTATTCTCTCTCACCATGATTGTGGTCAGATTTTGGGGATGGGTCTATCAGGGCTTCTCCACACGGTCTAGTCTATCTGTGTGGACTAGTTTGGGCTTCTCTCCTCGTGGTGGCCTCGGGGTCAGACTTCTTCCCTGGCAGCTCAGGCCGCTGGGGCCAGGGTTTCAAAAGAGGCAGAGGCGGCCTCACCCCTCCTGCTCTAGCCTTGGGAGTGATGCAGTGCCACTCTGCCACACACTATTAGTTACAAGCAACTCACAAGCCCACCCAGATGCAAAGAGAGGGCGCACAAACCCTACTTCTGAATGGGAGGGGTCTCAAGGTTCAGAAAAATATGTGGGATGGACATGAAAGCAGCCGTCTTTGGAAATCACAGTCTGACTCGCTTGGTACCAACGTAAGTCCCACCTCTGGACAATCAGTGCCCACTACCATCTACCTGGGTCATGGCCTACAAGTCCCGATTCTAAATGGCAATAGTTTATTGACAAGTCGCAATTCCTTGGGATGGAAAACATGATATAGTACTCACCCTTTTCCAAGGTTTCAACGTCTGCTGTTTCAGTTACCACTGTGATAAAAAACATTAAAGGGGAAATTCCAGAGATAAGGAAGTCATGCTTTAAATTGCATGCCATTCTAACCAGAACGGTGAAGTATCTTGCCATTTGACTCCATCCTACATGGTACCTGAGCCGTCCCTTTGTCCAGCGCCTCCACACTGCGTACACTGCCCACCTGTCAGTCATTCAGTAGCTCTCTTGGTTCTCAGCTTGACTGTCACAGTCTCGCAGTGCTTGTGTTCAAGTCACCCTTATTTTACTTAATAACGGCCCCAAAGTGCAAGAGTAGTGATGCTGGCAATTCAGGCCAAAGGGAAGCAGCAAAGTGCTTCCTTTAGGTGAAAAGATACTATGTATGTGTGTATGTATGTATGTATGTGTGTGTGTGTGAAAAAAACATAGTAAATATGTTTAGGTTTTTAGGCATTCCTCAGTTTTAGGCATTCACTGAGGGTCCTGGACCAGGAACTCCATGGATAAGAGGGGACTTCTATATTTTCCTTCTGTTTTTAAGTGACTGCCCCCACCTGCTATCTATGCTAATTTTCTTTTTCCTTCTGGATTAAGGCTACAAGGAGCCTTAATGACAATTTCACCAGATTCTCATTCATTTTAAAACACAGTCTTGGATATTAGATCGTCCTTTGAAATGGTTGCTCCTGTTCGTAGGTGTGACAGTGGTACTGTGGGTGAGAGATGGCCTAGTTCTGAGAGGACACATGGGGACGTACTTAGGAGCCAGGACTCAGGATGACTCAGCAGATATGGACGTGTGTGTGTGTGTGTGTGTGTGTGTGTGTGTGTGTGTGTATTTAGAGAGAGAGGGGGAAAAAACAAACAACATGAGATGATAGCAACTGCTGGTGGACTGAACCCTGATTCCCACTTCCTGGGGGAGGGAAAGTTCTCCTCTCTTGAGAACTCTACCGTCTGGCACTCCCTTCTCCGCCCCATCCTTTTCTGAGGTGTGAGGTGTGACCTTGAACTTAGGCTGTGGGGTAGTTGGCCACGTTTGTCCTCAGCTTTGGCCCTGGTGGCAATTCTGGAGGTCCTGGGAAAGTCCAATTCAACATCCTATTACAGAAGGCGGAGGGCAGAGACTCCACTTGGCTCCCAGCAGCTGATGGCTGTGAGTCTCACCCAAGGGCACGCTGGGAGACCTTTGGAAATGTGTGGGGCGGTTTGTTATTGCCCCAGTGTCTCTGGGAGGGTTGCTTTGGGCAGCTGTTCTCCAACTTTTTTACTTCATTTCTCTCTGCCTTCTCCATCCCTCATGACACTCCAGCCCTCCCGCAGGCAGTGTGTTCCCAGCGCTGGCTGTTCCCTGCCAAGGAACACGGCTCCCTCAGAGATGGGCGGGACTCCTGCCCTCCAGCCAGGTCTTTGGTCAGGGCTGGGGGGCCATACATTGTGCTGATGGGGCGAGGTGACCTGCTAGGGCAGGGATGTTAACTCGGTTGTCCTGGGTCTACTGACGTTTCTTTTTTGTTTTTTTAAAATATATTTTTATTGATCTCAGAGAGGAAAGGAGGGGGAGACAGAGACATCAAAGATGAGAATCACTGATTGGCTGCCTCCTGTATGTCCCCCGGCTGGGGATCCAGGTGCCCCGACCAGGAATCCAACAGTGACCTTCTGGTTCATAGGTCGATGCTCAACCACTGAGCCACGCTGGCCGGGCTCATCATTGATATTTCTCTCTCTCCCTTCCTCTCTGAAATCAATAAAAATACACTTAGAAAAAAACCCACCAAAAAACAAACAGGCGAATCTTATGAAATGTATATTATACTTCAATTAAACTATTAAATAAAATCAAGCAAAATATGGATTGGGGACGTAAATGAATGCTCTTAGGAGGTGCCCTGCCGGCACCTGCCTCACTCTATGCCCTGCCCTGGCGACAATGGGGGCACCGCGGTGACTAAGACAGCCCTCGCCCCTGCCCTCACAGGCCCACACGACAGCCCCAGTGGTGGGGCCTGGATGGGGGAGGCACAGGCGGAGGGGCTCGAGCCAGGAGGGGCAACAGACAAGGGTCAGGGCTGAGATGGGGGAGGGAGCTGGACGAAGGAGCCGGGGCAGGAGCAGTCAGGGAGCACTTCCTAGAGGAGCGAACGGCGGAGCCAGAGGCTCCAACTTTAAAAAACACTTCTGCCTTAGCATCCGTGGCTGGACTCCCGGCCGGAGCCGCGAACGCCGCGCCCCGAATTCCCGCGGACAGGGCCACAAGTGCTGCTCTG